TGTTTTAAAAAGAAGTTTTTAGATATTCGACCTACCTAACCCAAAGGTCGATGGCGACTCTATTTCAATTTAATTCAAATTAATTCAAAATCACTAATTTTTTAAAATAAAAGTCATAATTATTTTTTAAACTTAAGTGTTGTTTTCAAAAAAAAAAAAGTTATGAGACAATTATTTTTATACAATACAACTTCATAAGAATATACATAACATTTTCAGCTCATTTTGACGAATAATGCATTTATAAAGACCAGGTTCATAGTGTTGGAGTTTTATATATATTTTGTTCCGTTTTGTGGCAGAATATACATAACATTTTCAGCTCATTTTGACGAATAATGCATTTATAAAGACCAGGTTCCTTTGTGGTCGGGACTGGACCATCTCATTCAGTCACAACGCAGAATCTGCGAGTCTTCCCCAACATGATGTGCCACAGCCTATTCAGGGTTATGCCTGTGGTTCCATTATGCAACCAGATGATCTTCCACATTTAGGTATAACATTAAACATTCTTTCCTTTTAAAAGTAAAACTTTTCGAGTAGGTACGACAGACTTGATCTGAATTTAATTATTTAAATTGATTTAGATTCAATATAAATTTGAACATGATAGTCTAAATTTGATATAAAATCCAAAACAAATCGAATTGAACCAAAATAGACCTAAATTTTAGTTGGATTGATATGGACATGTATCCAATTTACCAAATTTAATCCAAACCGAACATCGATCCAATTTTAATTCGATAATTAAAGTAAAATGAAAGAATAATTTATATCTATAATTATATATTTTTAGTAATGTGATAAATAGTAAAATGATGTATATTATATTCTTCTTTTGTATTGTATTAATAGTTAACCATGAGATACATTAATTGATCGAGTCGTCAATGATCCTCATATTGTCCCATCTTGTGTGAGTTCGGATCATAACATTTATTCTGAAAATGCAATAACTAATACCTCTCTACTCAATAAAAAAGATAGTTAACCATCATTTAGCAATAGTTTAATGGTTCGATATTATTATACTACTAATCGTTGTTTTTTGTATTTTCTATTTTTAAACTTGATGTAATTTATACCCAACTCAATCTGAATTGGCCCAAAGATTCAAAAGTTGGACCGAATAAAAAAATGATCAATTTGATATTGACTTAACTCGAAAATCGATCAATTTAATATTGATCAGAATCGAAATCGATCTGATATTGATTGATCCAATATTAACTTGATCCAACTTATGATAAACTTGAAATAAATATGAACCATATTAGATCTGATCCGAATCGAACTTAAAACAAATATAATTTAAATTCAAAACTATTCAATGAATAAGGTTTTCCTTTTAGAGAGAAGTTTCAAACATTCTTTAACTTTGTTTTCACCCCCCACATACTCTCATTTCATAAAGTAGATGGCCCTGTTAATCCCCTAGCTTTATCTAATCAATGAATAATTAACGACTTCAAGCGATGGCATTGGCAATGATTATGTTTTGAAGTTTTTGTTTTAATCTTACAGGGTCTTCGACCTTTAACCAGCTGCTGGATATACCCTCGAGTTCTCAAACTCCACGGCATATTGGTTATCCCTCACTGCCAACTGACGTTGTTAGCCCCCGCCAACATATAAGTATGTCCCTAAACAGAACCCTCCTTGTGAAATTAATACTGCTCACTCTCTTTCTTCCTTTTCCTTACAAAAACTAAATACCGACAAGCATTTGGTTCTGATGCAGCACAAAATCGTCAGCCGTTGCAAAGATCGCTAAGTAGAGATAAAAAATACAGGCCCCGTCTCAAAGCAAAAGAGCAAGCTGAGGACGGATGCATCGAAATGCTGAATCAACAAATTTTAAGGATGAGTTTTGAACTTGCTGGCCTTGGATCAAAATTTTTTTGGATCCGTCACTGGCTCAACCCTTTTGGAATCTTCTTTTATATTTTTCACTGCAAACTGATTGTATTTATGTTTTTGAACTGCTCTGTTCTTAGGCCTCGTGAGGTACATATCAATTATTTGTTACACAATACAATTTCATAAGAACATATGTGACAACATTTCCAGCTCCGTTTGACGAATTATGCATGCATATTATGTCATACCAAGTTCACTGTGTTGGAGTTTTTCTATATTTTGTTTCTATTGTGTGGCAGAATGGTTTGTGTACCCGTTCAGTCATGATGCAGAATCTTCGAGTCTTCCCCAACATGATTTGCCGCAACCTATGCAAGGTTATGCCGATGGTTCCATTATGCAGCCTACTGATCTTCCGCATTTAGGTATATCATTAAACATCCCTTCCTGTTAAAATATTAGGATAAATATTGAAAATTTGACGGATCAACTAAATTAAATTGACTCAAATTTTAGTTGAACCGAAATAAAATTGTATCTAATTGAACTGGAATCGAAAGGAACATGAATTTAATTTATTTAAAAATCCGAGCTGAACATTAATTCAATTTTAATTCGATAAGTAAATAAAAAATGAATAAATAATTTACTTTTATTATTAACTATTTTTAATAATGTGATAAATAATGAAATGATGTATGTTTTATTATCCTTTTATTTTATACTAATATTTCACTACCATAATAGTTTAATGATTTAATATTATTATAAGCACAACATTTTGTATTTTGTATTTTTAATTTGCATTTACACCTAACTTCACTTTCGACCTAAAGATTCAAAGATCGACTCGAATAAAAAATTGTTTGATCTGATATTATACAACCAAAAAAAAAATAAACATACAAATACATTTATTAGGGTACAAATCATATTATTGCTACATTAATCCATTCAAGACATGGATTTTCTCCACTTGGGAGGAGTCCTACCTCGAACGAACTTTGCTTTGACATCCGTGGGTGTTTGCCTCCCGAAGTTAGTCTCTCTGTCTTCTTCAATCCTCTCGAAAACGCTCACGCTACTCTTAAGTGAAGGCATTATCCCCGGCTTCCTCCACCTGAAAAACCCTTTCCTCTTATCCATTAGTTTCTCCATTAGCATCTGCATTGCCAGTCATTGGCTCTGGACCCTCAACAGCTCTTCTTTCAGCTTCTTTATCACTATTTGTTGGGCGTTGATTTCTCGTTTCAACATGTCTGTTGAGCTTGGTTTGTTCAGAGAACAAAACTCGACCGAACAGGCAAAAGTTCATTTTGAGCAGCGTGCAGGGATGCTTCTGGTGAGAGTTTTTGACAGTCTATCAATCTGCAAAGAACCTTCCTATCTTGCTTTGACACACCTGGACGTGCCTGCAACAATTTAATGTATTGTTTTCTTAATTTAAAGCAAGACAATTAAACTGAATCATGGGTGAAGTAATACTAGATTAAAAGTGTCCTAAAGATGGATGCATTTAGCAAGACAATGTTTGTTTGAAATAGAAAGAATTGGAAATGACGTGAACTTACTTTGAGGTAAGTGTCGAGTTTTAATCCTCGGTCTTAACATAGAAAATATGATAGTTTAGAGGCGAACACTTAAAAAACTACTTAAGTTTGTACAGATATGGAGGACAATCTTTCTATTGCAACTCCGATTGTTTGTTTATAGCACCAAACCCGCTTTGCTTCTTTCTCTTAATTCATTCACCCACTTCAATCAAAATTCACAAGTTCAAGCTTATCAACATATTTATCGTACAAGGATTCTTTCATTATTTCAATGTAAAGTTAACATAATCCAAATTTATAAATGATGAGAAAGAAAAGATGTCAAATATTCAAAGTTTATTTGTTCTGAAGCAATTTATTTAATCTTTACTGGATCTATGACATAACGAATGTTTATACTCAGTTTTGATATGTGTGGTTGGAGAAGAAAAATAATTAAGGAAATTTCTAAAAATAATCTTTAAATTTAATTTTAATTGTTATATGCATTAAATGATGAAATTGATTTTGAAAACAAATTTTTAGTGCATGACATAGATTCTTTTAATTGGTTGGGACTTTTTTTTTTTTTTTTTTGCTCTCTCGATTTCAAGGCTTCGCCTTAATTAATCCGGACCGATCCGCGTCGCGCACCTGACTTTGGTGGACGAGTCTCCCAAAAGGGATTTTCTGCATATACAAAGACTCGAACTCGAGGCATTGCTTAAGCGATATCAAACTGCTTACCACTTGAATCAACTCCTGTTAGTTAATTGATTGAGACTATTGATTATGTGGTGAAAAGAGTCTATTAAATAATTTCTCCTATATTTACGTATTATAAATGCATGGAATGGCTTAATTTGTTGCCATCTTTCTTTCATTATGGTTAAATAGTTAATTTTTCCATGCACTTTAGTTTAATTCTTAATTTGATTTATGTATTGCATATTACTTAATTTATATTAGATACATATTCATATTCAATACTAATACTCAGATCAAATAATATAAAAATATATTTTTAATTTAAAAATAACTCTTATGTTTACAAAATGATGACAATTTACGAAATCCTTTGTACGTGCAAACTGGGTTCAAAAGAAGGATAAATTAAATGAGATTCCTTTGGAAAATAATTAGTCTACAAACTTGGGAGACAATTTTGACTAGAATTCATGATATATAAAATAATAATAAATGTATAATTTTAATCTCTTTACTGCGTTTAAATTTAAAATATAATATAGTATATTTATTTTAATATGATTTAAATACTTTATTTTTATGATGTTTATGTTTAGTTAGATAAGTATATCTAAATGTAAATAGAGAGATAAATCCTAATTTTTAAAACCTTAAATAACAAGTAATTCTATACATAACTAACTAAACCACAGATTACGACTCCGTTAGTGTATTTGGTCACAATAATCTGATCAGAAGCGTCCAATTCTAACGGCCTCACTTCACGTCCAATCTCTCTCATAATGTCCGTCCGGTGATTGTAATCCCTCATCCCTCAACCGTCCGATCTCATAACTCCATCCAATCCATTTATGAAAACCATGGCCCCTGTATAAAAATATAAACCTATCATCAGCGACCTTTCCTAGAATTCATTGCGTGTTTCCTTCCTAAAAATTCAATTCAACATTTTTTTTACTGAAAATCAAATTGGCCAATCATGAGATTCAACAAAGGCAGCAAAGTCGAGGTTCTAACCGGGAACGAGGCTCCAACCGGCGCCTGGCGCTGTGCCCAGATCATCTCCGGCAACGGCCACACTTACAGCGTGAAGTACGGTTGGTTTCCGATCACCGGCAAGGAGGCACCGGTGGGGAGAGTCCCCAGGAAAGCGATTAGGCCTTGCCCTCCTCCTATAAATGGAGCCGATGATTGGGTTTCCGGTGACGTCGTTGAGGTGTTCGACGATTTGTGCTGGAAACCGGCGGTGATCGTTAGAGTTTTCGGTGGAAACAACTTCTCCGTTAGGATTATTGGATCGAGTAGCGTACTCAATGCACATGAATCTCGATTGCGTGTACGGCAATCTTGGGACGCTGGCAGATGGTTCCTTGTTGGAAAGGTAATTCTATCGAGCTTTTCTTTAGACTATAAGTTTTGATATATTTCTTTAACTTCTTTTGCTGTACATTATTGATTCTTACTCTAATTGTTATGTTCGATAACAGGGCTCGTCGATTTCGTCTGGACCACCGAAGAGGAAAAGATCATTGCTTGGCATCTCGGATGCTGGTGGGAAGAAGACGAGGGTGATTGAAAAAGTTAGTATTGGTGGTCAAAGACTAATAGTTCGGCTTCCTTGTCCAGCTTCTGAAAAGGTAGATGCATTTGTTTCCCCAAAAAATATACTGGGTGAAAGATGTATGCCTTCTTCATTTCGTAGAATTGATTATATCAATGATACCATGAGTTGTGCGTCATCTGTTGGTAGTTGTAGTGGTTTAGGAAATAATGGTCATAACTTGTCTCCAAGTTATGTAACAAAAGGTTGTGAAAATTTAGAGGAATACTGTAGTTATGCTGACTCATATTCTGAAAGGTGTTACGGAGAAGAAGGAAATTCTTTCTCCACTAGTGTGGAATTGGGAACAGATTTCCATAGGTCAGAGCTGCATGCCTATCAGAAAGCACTGGGGGCATTGCATGCTTCTGGGCCTTTGACTTGGGAAAAAGAAGAAAAGGTGACTAACCTACGTCGTTCTCTTAATATTTCAAATGATGAACATTTGAGGGAGCTTAGAAAGTTGAGACATGATAATAATAGGTTTTTTGTTAGTTGTTGCTAGATTTACTTCAATGATGTAGATATTGTAAAGATACTTTAAATTTTCAATTTAGTAATTGCTTTATTAGTTTCTTCTGTTATCTCCATGAAAAAGGCTTTTGTTCTTTATGTTTAGATTTAGGCTTATATATATATATAGAAGCATCATTTTCCGTTCTTTTCGTTTTTTCTTTTGACCTTTCATAAATGTTGCATATTGTTGGGCGGATATTTCAGCACAGTAAATTCTATTATCCCTTGTGAAGTTGTTGAGTTACATTGAATACAAAGAGGTGAATTACATTCTTAGTCGCTTGAAGATTTGCTAAATTGAATTTAAGCATATACAAATCTAAGTTCCAGAAACAGTAAAATGAATTGTATGTTTCAGTCTTCCCAGCACATTGATATTCAAAAAAATTTCCTATAACCATAAGATTACTTTGACCTTGTTCCTGGTCTTTACCCACACAAAAAATGACCTTTCTTTCTAGTTCAGTTGCTGTTGGGATTTTGGAAATTGTGATGTGAAGCTGGCTGGTTTATGATTCTAGCTAGTGTTTCATACATTTCCAGTTTTATGTATGTGTAGCTATTCTACATCATATCATCATGATGTACAATTCTTATACTTGCTTTATTTCAGCAGCATATGGAATTAATGTTGAGAAATGTCTTGATGCTTTCTCAGAATATCTCATGGCCAATGTTGGAGGCATCAATACTTTGCTTCTAAAGCCATGATGGACTGAGTATGTCATCTCTTACAGTTTACCAGGGGACAACATCCATGGTTTATTCCTAAAGGAAGCCTTAAGCCTCGCTTTTGGTATGAATTATTTCTAAAAATATTTAAACATTCTGATTTATCTATGGAAATGGTAGTATAAGTCACCGTATTCCTTGTTGCAGAAAAACAATATAATCTTAAAAGCTAGCGTACACTTTAGCATGTAAATTGTTAGGTTGTAGATGCACTTATGGAAAGACAATCTTATCTTCTTCTATCCCCCCTGCCCCCACCCCCAAAAGAGTATATGAGAATTTTAGATATATCCCATAGTGGAATGGTTTCGTATCTCTAGAATGTACATATACAATAATGGAACAATTTTGGTAGGATGGTTAATAAGTTTATATCTTGCTCTCTCTTCTTTTGAGCAGATACTTAAATGCTTGAGTAGTGAAAAATTTTTTTGCTACCATCATATATTTTAATTTTTGAGAATGAAACAATAACTTTTTTTTGTTCGGATGTTAGAGTAACTTCATATTCACTATTAACTATAGGTTTTTGGCATTCACTACTAAATAGGGATCTAACAAATTCATGCATTTTAAAACAATCATGAAAGCTATAGTATAATTTATACTAATAATTGAAGTCCAAATTCCTCCTTTTTTAAGTTCAAGTTACCAAGCACAGTGATTTCAGTAGTTCTAATATGTTAGGTTTGGTTCCTTTGTTGTTGGATGGATACAACTGCGTTAAGCAATCCTCCTCGCGATGCCCGAGTTTCAAATGCTTATGACCCTTTTATTGAATAATACGAATGAAACGCGAAGCTTTTTTTAATCATAAGTTCATTTCCCCGAGTTTATGCTTTTTAACATTTTCTGGAAGTTGTTGATGGAAAGAATATCATGAGTGATGATGACCATTCATTCCACCAAATATGAAATTTAGCTGTGCTTTTATTGGTTCATATTTCATGAACTGCATTTGTGCGTCTTGGTAGTTATTTTAAAATTGAGATTGCTTTGAGGCAGGCTGAGATATGGTTTTGTGTTTCATGTGGAGCATATTTCTCTATTAAAAAAATATTTTTATTGATTAAATTTCATTTTTAAATATGATGCATCTGACATAAGGGTTGATCTTTGTTACTTGATTTACGTTCTTAAAGGGTGTGGCCATCACCGTTTACAGGGATAGGATTAATCACATACTTGTGCGGATTTCATGACTTCTATTCTAATAATCATCTTTAAGTTGTTTTCGTGTTGTGTATAAATTCCTATTTTTAACGTGACTCTTTATGCAAAAATAATTAGCTTCATGTATTTATATTATTATTTTTAAGTTATAATTTATTTCAATTATTTTTAATGTTGTATTTTCTGCGTATCTCACTTTATCTAATATTTGTAATACATTTTAGTTTAATTATTCGTTTACTTAATATTTAAAAAAGTTGTACGCTTTATCTAGATAAACCATAGAAATATAGATAGTTAACTAATAATTGTTTAATATAATTAAGCTTAAAATTTAGATTTATAATTAATTATTTAATTCTAAATATCTAGGTGAAGAAAAAAGAAAAGAAAAGAAAAACTATACACGCCTGTAATTGCAATCCTTCATACGTTACGATGGAAAATGCCTAAATGTTGAAAGTATATGAATATCTATTGAAAATAGTAATTAAAAATTATAAATGTGTATAATTCGTCTCAAATCAAATTAGTTTTATATATATAAATCATTTGATTTATAATAAGTCGTTTTTTGAAAAATGAATTACTCTTTTTAAAAGATAAAGTCAATTTTGAAAAATGAATTACGTAGACAAATCTGAATATTAGGCAAATCGTATGCAATTGTAACTAACATTTGTTGGTTAATTTATAAAACTTTCTACACAACAATTAATAGAAAAAAATATAAAATAAGAATTATATATATAAATCGAATATTATTTTTTGGTGTGAATCTCGAGTATTTCTCGCCGATTCATAATTGATATTTTAACATTCACTAATTGTAATGGTTGTTTAAAATATAAAATGATAATTCATATTTTTTAATATTTTAGCCACAATATTTTTTTAAAAAAATTTAGTTATTGTCGACGTACGTACACCTGTAAATATAATAGTTTCAACCTAAAATATTAGGAACAACGACGTTCTTTTTAACTACGGATGTCACTTGATAAATTAAAATGATAATTCATAATTGATATTTTAACAATCATATTTTTAAAATAAAATAAATATAATTTATATACTAAATTTAAAGCACTCGTAACTCCCAACTCTTAAACTGAAAGCTATTGCAGGCTTAAACAACTTTAAATTTAGAGACCAGTTAGAGGTTGACAGGAACAATGGCCCCTAAAATAGTTAAATTAAATACAAGTCCTTTTAAAAACCAAAAGATTACAAATTAATACATGATCAGATTACATTTTGACCTCCTATTCCGTCCTTCTAAAAATTATAAAATTAAAAACCAACACAAGTGTTGAAATTACACTTTTGGCTCTCATAAAAATTTATAATTCGAGGTCAATATGTTAATAAAAAGTGTATACTTTCTAGCTTTATCTTTGCTCAAATTACAATTTTCTTATCATAATTATACAAATCGAACTAAAACTCAATCAACTATAAAGTAAATATAAAAATAATAAATTAATTAAAAAGTATAAATATATAATTTATAAATATAGATAATAGATTATAAACTAGCAACTAACTCCACCTGCGAGTTTTTAGTTGGCAAGGAACGGCTTAACCTAAGCGCATTCGTCCTGACCGTCAGATGCATTGGGTGATCCCTCATTTATTAACCGTCGGATCATCACAAACACTTCTGATTTAACTAATAAAACCCTTATCCCCTATATAAACTCCATTTTAACTCTCCTTCCCAAGTGTGTTCCTTCTTCGATTTCTTTCACAAGAATTTTCCCAATTTCACTAATTTTCTGCCATTTTTCCGTTTACCCTAATTTCACTGATTATAATCGAAATCCCCAATCATGAGGTTCATGAAAGGTAGCAAAGTCGAGGTCCTTACCAAGCAGGAGATTCCAACAGGTGCCTGGCGCTGCGCCGAGATTATCGCTGGCAACGGCCGCACTTACAGCGTCAGGTACGGTTGGTTTCCGGTCACTGGCGAGGAGGGGACGGTGGAGAAAGTCTCTAGGAAAGCGATTAGGCCTTGCCCTCCTCCTACAAACGGGGCCGGTGATTGGGTTCCCGGGGACGTCTTAGAGGTTTTCGACGAGCTGTGTTGGAAACCGGCCGTCGTCGTTTGGGTTTTCGGTGGAAACAAATTTTATGTGAGGATTATTGGATCGAGTAGAGAACTGGAAGTACATCGATCTCGCCTTCGTGTTCGACAATCGTGGGAAGATGGCAAGTGGGTCCTCGTTGGAAAGGTTTTTTTTTTACAATAATGTTATCTATTTCTTTATTTGTTTTATTTATTGTAAGTTATTGATTCTTACCCTAATCGTTGTTTGGAAAACAGGGTTCGTCAAATTCCTCGTTGAAGAGAAAAAGATATTCGCTTGGCTTCTCGGATGCTGGTGGGCAGAAGAAGAGGGCTATTGAAAAGGGTAGCGTTGATGGTAAAAGGATAATAGTTCGGCTTCCTTCTCCAGCTTTTAAAAAGGTAGATGCGTTTGGTTCCCCAAATAATATAATGGGTGAAAGATGCACGCCTTTTTCCCTTTATAGAATTGATGATACCAGTGATAACTCGAGATGTGCATCGTCTGTTGGTAGCTGTAGTGGTTTAGGGAATAATGATCTTAATTTGTCTCCTGCTTATGTAACAAACGATTGTGAGAACTTAGAGGATTATTGTAGCGATGCTGACTCTTGTTGTGAAAGGAGATGTGGAGAAGAAGGTAGTTCCGGCCGCACCAGCGAAGGAATGGGAATGGATTTCCACAGGTCGGAGCTACATGCATATCAGCAAGCCCTTGGGGCATTGTATGTTTCTGGTCCTTTGACATGGGAAGAAGAAGCAAAGGTGACAAGTCTGCGTGATACTCTTAATATTTCAAATGATGAACATTTAAGGGAGCTAAGAAAGTTGAGACATAATGATATTAGGCTTTCATTCTGTTGTTACTAGATTTAATGAAATTATTATATCTTTATTAGTGTTATGTTTATTTTACTCGGTGCTGCAGATATGTAAAGATAAAAATAGTTATTTTCAACTCCCATCTTTATGTATGAAGTTTTTGTTCTTTTTCTTCTCCTCTGCTGATTTTGTAGTTGTGTTTTGCGTCAATATTGACGTAACAGAGTAGAAGGCTACTTCTCCAAGTGATAATTGTTGACTATTGAAAATAGCTTTTAAATGAAAAGAAGTGCAAGTACATTGTAGTCACCGGGAAGGACACTGATGGATTCTATTGTAAAAGTACCCAATTTTTAGAAAATTGCATCTGGTTGAGCCTGGTTTTCAGAAATATTTAATTTTTACTCTCGTCTCTGAATTTATCTCTGATATTGTCCGTGTTCATAAATTTTGCTCTTGTAAATTATGTTGCGGTGCTGGTTGGTTTATGATTGCACCTGGAATTATATAGTTGCAGTTCTATATATGTTATTGCATCATCGTCTTCTGATGGCGGGTATAAATATTATACTTTTCTTCATTTCAGCAGTATCTGGGGAATGTCCTGATGCTTTCTCAGAGTATCTCATTGTCACTGTTGAAGGCATCCATACATAGCTTCAAAAGCCATGATTGGTTTAAGTTTGGCACCCCTTGCAGTTGATCTGTGGGCAACATCCATGGTTTATTCCCTAATGGATCCCCTTAAACTCTGCTTTTGGTACGGATATTTCTATAAAGCTTTTCGAATTTGGATTTTTCTTTTGAAATGCTGGTATAGATTCTTATATCTGTTGCCGCTGCCTATAAATCAAGACAATCTTAAAAGACACCCGACAGTTTTAGTATTTTAATTGGTAGGTCACAGTTGCACTTAAAAAATTCAAATTGTATTAACAGTAAATTTGGTATTTCTGGATGATCATTTCCAACACAAAACCTTTAAGGCTGCATAATTGATGAATTGCTCCGAACCTGCCCTAGTCTCTCTCTGCGGAAACACTTGTATTAACTGCTTGAGTAGATGAGATTATCCTAGCATCCTTGAATCATACGAGTCTAATTTGTGGCCTTAAGCTGCATTCTAATTGTCTTAACAAGTTTATACATACTGATGAGTTTGGACAAGTTGAAATCGGTGTTTATGTACCATGATGAAACAGTGCTTTTAACTTCACAAGCGGTTGTTTGATACTTCTAGATGGGTACTTCTGAGCCCCTTCGAAGGACTCCGCATCACCTGTCCATGAGAGTGGTATTCTGTAAGAGAGATTTTTGTATTATGCAATATTATCTTTTTTCTTTTTCATGGATTCAGAATGACAAAAGATCAATGCTGTGATTAAATTGTTGGTTTTGCTCTATCATGTACAGTGCATGAGAACATGCAGGTAACGCATTCTTTTCCCTAATCATCATCAGCGTTGATGCTTAGTCGGACATTTTAGATTGATGTTTGAGTAGAAGTGGTTTATTAGAAATTCAGACATTGGAATACTATTTATTGTTGTTGCATGCGGTATGAACTTTGGTTGCTTCAGTTCATACCCTCCGGTACTAGGTAGGTTACTTCTAATTGGTAAGTTCTGTTTGCTATTTACATGCGTTGTTCCTCCTCTATCATTTTTCTTTTAAGATTTTTGGATGGCACCACCTAACATGTTTGAAAAACATGAATGCTTTTGTAGCTAAGGTATGTTATCGAAGAGCTTCTTTATTCTCATAATCATAACATAATGTGGTTAATTGGCCTTTGATTTAAATTCATCCATGTTTATTGTTACATGTGACATTACAGATCATGAGGCAGGGGCACGCCGGTAGAGGAGCCTTAACTGTTGTTTCTACAGAAGTGAATTTTCAATTTGATACTGAGACTTCAAACTTGTGGAGTCATGATCGACCCTCTTGTAAGACTTGCTTTGTTTAGTGTAATTCTATAATGTCAACGGATTATCTTGTTATTTTGAAGACCCAAAAGATTATTTTGAGTTTAACAGATTAAATGGAGTTCATAAAATCGGATTGCCATCTTTCACGACGAAGACGTATTAGAGAGCATCAAATCTGTTCTGTAAGATTTGCTTTGTTTAATGTAATTCTAATGTCTTGTAAGAAGTGTTCGCGGCGTTCGACAAGGTGTGTAAGATCTGTTTCGGTAGGATAGAAGGAAAGGTATCGAAAGTATGTGAAGTTAAGTCTGCGATAATCTTTGGGTTTATTGGATTGATGAACTTCATATACGTTGATGAATTTATAAAATTTTAGGGATAAAATACATATTATCAATAGAAAATAAATAAATAAATAAACTTAAATTATATAATAATTTAGAAGTTTCAAGGGACAATCGCTGTTGCCACGATCCATTATTGTTTGGACTAAACCGGTTTGTGTTTATTACCCCTAAATGTTGTTAGCTACTCAAATATTCCTCTGCCGAATGTTGAAAATCCTACAATTTTCTTTTTCTGTTTTTGTTTTCATGGGTTTTATTTCTCAATATTTTAAAGGATAAATTAAGTGTTTGGTACTTAAACTATTATTATTATTATTTAGTTTTGATACTCAAATTTTATTTTTCTCTGAACCATATTTAACATTTTGTTTAGGTTTTAAGATTTTGTTTTTTATATTTTCAGTTGAATTAAGGGTAAAGTATAGTAATGGTCACTGAACTTTTCTAAAGCTTGCATTTAGGTCTCCAACTTTTAAAACTTGCAATACGGTCCTTCAACATTTAGTCCGTTTGCAATATGATCTCCGACCATTTGACGCCGTTACATTGTTGTTAGTTCGTTTGTAATAAGGTCATTGAACTTTTCAGGCGCTTGTATTTAGGTTCCCCAATTTTTAAAACTTACAACATAGTCCTCAATTTCATTCTAAACCCCAAATTTTAAAATAATTCAATTAAACCCCAAATTCTAAAAGTTTTGATTAAGAAGAAAGAAATAAAATTAGATGGTTTTGGTTCAAAACTAACACTGAATATCCAGATCCTTGACATGCAGTTCCAGAAACATAAAAACTACTATACTTTACCCTTATTTTAATTAGTAATTAATATACTTAATAATATATTGTTCTTATTTTAATAAATAATTAATATAATAATAATTTTATTTTAATAAAATTAGGGATCTGGATATTCAGTGTTAGTTTTGAACCAAAACCATCTAATTTTATTTCTTTCTTCTTAATCAAAACTTTTAGTACTCCTTATGAAAGATATTCAATCCATCAGAATAGAAGTGAAAGAGGGTCCTAGGCTAATTTTTTTTGTCTTCTTGTTTGGTTTTTCTTTAAATCATGGAATTGGTTGTGAGTATCGACATAGTGAAATCGTCAGGCTCAATCCGAGAGACTACTGGTACTAGTTTACTAGAAATTGTATTGATCCAACCTGTAGTTTTCAGTGTCCTGTGAGCTCGTATTCTTTTTAATAAGTTCATGTTGATTGTGGGACTAATATATCGTTAATGAATTGAATTTTTTTACATGTTTTGGAAATTTTACAGTTGAATATGTATTGAATTATAGCTTTAGAAGACAATTATGCATGCACGCAACTCGAAAGACATCATTACAAGGTACTATATTTGGAGCAACTACTTGATATGTTGCCCAGTCATTGCACATTTACACCTTCATTTCTGGCATATATATGTTTGTGGCAGTTTCCTCTATGTTTTACAATGTCTTTTATTACCGACATGCCATGAATTTATAAGAATTATGGGGTCTTATGATTTTAGTTCCGCTATCTGCTTTAGATTCTCATCATGTTTGGCTATTGAGGAACATTAAACATGAAGCATTAGAAGCAATTATATGTTAAAAGGGTAGGCCATTAATGCATTTACAACTGGTAATGTTGTATTTAACATCTAATGTCTATCTTAAACAACCCATTTGACGCCATAGCTTTTGGAGTGACTATGACCGAACCTCTTTCCCTTTATTTATTAAGTCCTCCTTTTGATTGAGTTATTAATTGATATTCTTGGTTTATTTTAGTTATTGCTTAGTTGTATGTTGTAGTCCTATGAACAAAAAACTCTTTACTATTTTCGCAGCCATTGGATGTGCATGGTCAAGTTCCATCCAAACCTATCGGATTGTCAAACCAAAGTGCGACAGTTACGAACAAGACAAATTGACCTTGTTACTTTTACTTCAACTGTTTATGCAATAACTGTGACTGGTGCACTTTTCATGTTCAAAGCGCGACGGACGTTGGATGTGCATGCAATAAACCTCAAATTTATATTGAAGTAAACACTTTCAAATAGCAAATTCATGTTCAAAATTCTAAAACACTCCAATTACATTCTAAACCCCAAATTCCAAAATACTTTAATTACATTCTAAACCTTAAATTGAAGTATTTTAGAATTTGGGGTTTAAATGTAATTTAATTATTTTGAAATTTGGGGTTTATATTAAAATTGAGGATTGTGTTGCAAGTTTTAAAAGTTGGGGAACCTAAATGCAAGCGTTTGAAAAGTTCAGTGACCATATTGCAAACGGACTAACGACATTGTAACAACGTCAAACGACCGGGGACCATATTGCAAACGGACTAAATGTTGGAGGACTGTGTTGCAAGTTTTAAAAGTTGGGGGACCTAAATGCAAGTTTTAGAAAAGTTCAGTGACCATTACTATTCTTTACCCTTGAATTAAATGTGTATTTTATAACTAAATTTAAATATAATTATATATTTAGATAATCCTTATGCTATTTATTTGTTTTTTTTCTTTCTGTATAGTTTAGGATGATTATAATATAGTATTTATTTAAAAAATTATTAGTTATTGATAATGTATAAATACCCCGCAAATGCAATTGCTTGAATCAATGATTTCTTATCATTTAGGTCACTCAATGAATTCTCTTTATCGTGATTTATGATTTTCTCTGTATATATATAGTTCGTAAAAATATTGAGAGTTAATTTGAATATAGATACTAATAAGTTAATTAATTGATTTGGGGATTTTGTTATAATAGAAACGTAAGGTAGATGCACGAGCTTGAAAAATATTTCCAGATTTGGTTGGTGGTGGTTAATTCTGACAAACCATATCTAACGTTTAGTTTTTATTTCATTTTAGTATCCCACCGTAATACATTTAGTACCTAAAATATCATTTTGAATGTGATTACTAAAATGAAATAAAAATTAAACTTTAGGTATGATTTTGAAAAATAGAAAACTTAGATTCTAAAATAGACCAAAACTAATAGTTTATGTACTAAATGCATAATTTACCCATAGTATTTTTAAAATTTATTATTTTAAGCTATGGAAGCAAAGCATGTGCAATCGCAAGTGAGAAATTTGATTGAGTTCGGCGTCTTTTTATTACTTGAATGCTTTTCCTGTGCGTCTTGCTTTTGTTGGTCGGCAATGGTTTTAAAAAATTTATTATTGTGGGAATGTGAATATGAGATTCTCTGGAGATTGGATTTAAAGAAGAAGTTACAGTTGTTGTTCACGTCAACAATTTTACCAGGAAAATCTGGGTTTTTAGAAGAAATTTTTTTAGATTTACTGAAAATCTGGAAATTGATGATTCCATTGTTCAGTGAATGATGAATAAGATTTTGCCAATTTGCCCAACTGTCACAGGGGCATCACCAGCAAAACTTCTATATAGAACAGCCTTCTTATGTTTGAAAGTATCGAAGGAGAATTTCCCATGGTATGCACCCATTCCACTGTCCCCGACTCCTCCGAATGGCAAAGTGGGTTCAGCAAGCTGAAAACAATATCAGGACCACATATACCTCTAAAGTTCAATAAGAATCAGCATATGAATTTAATAAAGTTAGGAAACAAAAACTTGGTAATTTATATTTTATTATCTAATCATTCAAACTATATCGAGGGATGATTTGCAAGCTAGCCATGGAGAATAGCACCACTTTTAAAGGTAAATAAATGTAAATGTAAAGTGTATAACGCATTCATGCCCACATTGACCCCATGAGTTAAAATTATACTTACATGTACAGTAGTGTCATTGATGACCAAACC